CCCTAACTTCCTCTCTCTCTGCCTGGAAGTCCTGCCTATCCTCTCCTGCCTAGCTATTGGCCATTCAGCTTTTTATTACACCAGTCACAGCAACACATCTTCACACCACAGTGTTCCTCAGCATGTATTATAAATCTGTTTTCCATAGATAGCTTGGAGTAAGTGCCAATCCTCATAGTGGAGTATGAGAACTTTTGTTCTTTCTTCCATTTGTGTGTGTGTGTGTGTGTGTGTGTGTGTGTGTCCTATTTATAGTGTTTGGTACCCACCACATGCCTCAGATTACCTCTTTTCCTGTGTATACAGGCTTTACTCTCAGCTGGCCTGACTCAGCTCCAGCCTGTGGTATCTTCCCTTCTTTGTAGAGTCGTAAGGCACACAACATTGACCTGAAGGGGACAGTCGTAATCTTTGATGAAGCCCACAATGTGGTGAGTCCCCCTTGACTTCTATACGAAGCATTTCCTATCTCTCCTAGCTTGCTAGATGTCTTCTGGAGACCCAGAAGCCTAATTCTCAGCAGCAAGCAGACCCAGGTCTGCTGCTCCCCTGTGGTCTATGAGTTGCCTCACCCAGGCCAGAGACTGGCCAGCTGGGCTTCAGATGTGCCCTTAGGTGCAGGGTCCATATGTGAACCTCTTACTGGGCTCCTGCCCTTCTGGCCAGTTGGTAGGGCTCTCCTGGCTCTGCTATCGCTTTACCATATGCTGTTGTCTTCCCTGCATGCCTCTGCTCTTTAGGCTACTTGACTTGACCCTTAGGAAACTTCTGTAGCAACAGCTGCTCATCTTTGGTGCCAATAGCAATAAGAGTGGTTCCTGGAGGCCCTCCTGGGTCCCCTGCCCTTTTTCACCAGCACGTTATCATAGTGACTCCACTACCCCTGTCTCTATTGTCACTGCATCCTCGGGGTTGTGTGGAATGAACTTTCTCATCCTTAGCTGCTATGAAACCTGGGAGGAGACTGCCGGAGAGCCAGGTCCACCCCACCCCAAGCATGACCTTATTTCCTACTTAGCTCCAGGCAACTGTTGCTATGGGAATTCTTGAGCTGATATGTGGTATCTTCTGACTTTTGAAGCCCAAAATACTGCTTTTGCTGATAAACATTCCAATAAAAAAAATTTTGGTAACTCAAGTGAAATAATCTTTTAAAATATTGGTGAGGGCAGCGAATCATCTTTGGACCAGCTTTGGCTTTAGAGACCAGGAACCAGAGCTTTGGGGACTTGGCTGTTGTCTTTCTATTGCTCATACATCTTCACTTCTGCTTCCTAGAGTTCTTATTCTGCCCCTCTCTGCCATAACATGGGTTTACTTTGGCCCTCAGGAGAAGATATGTGAGGAGTCGGCCTCTTTTGACCTGACGCCCCGTGATGTGGCTTCAGGACTGGAGGCTATCAACCAGGTTTTGGAAGAGCAAGCCCGGGTGGCTCAGCAGAGTGAACTCCACCTGGAGTTCAGTGCAGACACCCCTGGCTCAGGTAAGATTATGACCAAAAATTGAAAAGTGCCTGGGCCTATTGGAGGCATATCTTAGAAGTGGAGTCTGGGCCTATTGGAGGCTTGTCATAGAAGTATCTTCTGTATCAGTGCAGTCCAGATAACTCTCTGTGACATGAGTTTGCTGAGAGACTTGGGTCAGGGTTCCTGGTGTGTGACTTCCTATCTGTTCATCCCAGATAGGGCACCAATAACAGACCAAAGAAATACTTCTACCCGATCTAATTCAGTGAGTTCCAGGACAGTCAGGACTAGATAGAGAGACCCTGTCTCAAAAGCAAACAAACAAAAGAATGACAGTGGGCCACATGAGTAAAGGGTACTCAAGGGGCAAAAGCCTCTTCTCCCTAGCAATTGTTGCTGCCTGTGTAACCTTGAGGAGGGAGTTTGTGACTCTTGTACATTTCAGCTTTCTGAGAGTTTTAAGTTCTGTGTACTTCCTGAGTCTTATGAACTTTCCTCTTCCCTCCTGGGTGGCTTGCTTCAATTGTAGGAAAATGGCTCATTGGATGCTTTCAGTCCTTTTCATTTTCTTTTCTTTGAGACAAGAGTTTCATGTCCCTTAGACTGGCCTCAAGCTTATGTAGGAAAGAAAGGATGGACTTTAGCTTCGGGTCCTCTTGCCTTTATCTCCCAGGAGCTGAGATTTTAAACTTAGGCCACCATTCCTGGTTTATTTGGTGCTGAGATCAAACCCAGAACTTTGTGCATAGTAGGTAAGCATTCTGTCAACTGAGCTGTCTCCAGCCCCATTTCCAGTGTTCGCTGAAGTCTTTACTTCTTTTCCTAGCTAATTTTTTGTTTTGTTTTGTTTATTGTTTTTTGAGACAGGGTCTCTCAGCATAATCATGGCTGTCCTGGAACTCGCTATGTAGACCAGGCTTGCCTCAGAGATCTGCCTTCCCCTGCCTGCTGGGATTAAAAGGCATACACCACCATACCCAGCCTGGCTTTTAATTTTAAAGCAAAGCATAGGTACAGGAAATCCACACAAAAAAGTCATCTCTGGCTGCTTTAGTTTATAGCAACAGTGTTACAGATACAGAGACAGATGAATTCCAGTAGCTCACTGGCCTGCCAGCCTAGCCAAAACACTGAGTTTCAGGTTCAGTGAGAGACCTTGTTTTAAGGAAATTAAGCTAAGGCGCAATTGAGGAAGACAACTGTTATTGTCCTTTGGCCACTATGTACAAGTGCTGATATACATGGATATGCATACATATACATTACACATATATATGGATATGCACACAGGCATATATGTATACAGCACACACACAAAAGAATATAGATCACATATACATGATGAACCGAACATCCAGAGAATGCCACCAATCAAGAAAGAGGTTGGCCATCACAGCCATAGCTCTACTTCTCTTACCCAACTTCTAATTCATCTTTTTTGTTGTTTTTTTGTTTTTTTTTTTTTGTTTTTTTTTTTTGGAGACACGTAGCTGTCCTGAAACTAGCTCTCGTAGACCAGGCTGACCTTGAACTCACAGAGATCTGCCTGCCTCTGCTTACCGAGTGCTTGGATTAAAGGCGTGTGCGGCTACCACCCAGCTTCTAATTCACCTTTATTTATTTATTTATTTATTTATTTATTTATTTATTTTGGTTTTTCGAGACAGGGTTTCTCTGTAGCCTGTCCTGGAACTAGCTCTTGTAGACCACGCTGGCATCGAAGTCACAGAGATCTGCCTGCCTCTGCCTCCCGAGTATTAGAATTAAAGGTGTACACCACCACTGCCTGGCTCTAATTCATCTTTAATGGCTCATAGTTACCTTCTCCTTCCTTTTCTTTGGTAATATTGTGACTATTTGATGCCTAGATTCAGTAATTCTCAGTTATCTGAAGGTGGTGATGTCTCATTCAGCCCTTTAATTTTGTAGCAGAAATAATGTAAAGATTGTTCAGCTCTGTGGTGGCGCTGTTCATAGTGGAAAAGAAGGATCACGATGAACACACTCTACCCATTTCAGTTCTGAAAACTTGAGTTGAATCTAAATTAGTGATTGCTATCTTCAGAGGGGAACAGTGTTTGAATAGCATGTCTGAACATTGATTAGTTATTTTTCTCCTTGTCATAACAAAAAACCTAACCAAAGCAACTTAAGGAAGCAAGAATTATCTTGGTTCACATTCTCAGAGTACAACTCATCATAACTGGGACTTTGTAGTGATGAAGGCTTGTGCAGCTAGTGTGTTTGCAGTCAAGAATGAGGGGAGAAGGGAAGGGAAGAGAGTGAGAGAGATGCTACTGAACCTCACTTTTTCTTTCTTTCTTTTTTTTTTTTTGTGAGACAGGGTTTCTCTATGTAATCCTCGCTGTACTGTATCTCTCTGTAGACCAGCGTGGCCTGGAACTCACAGAAATCCACTTGTCTCTGCTTCCTAAGTGTGCACCACACCACCACACCCTGCGTTTTGCTTTTTTCTTTCTTTCTTCCTTTCTTTCTTTCTTTCTTTCTTTCTTTCTTTCTTTTTTTTTCTATTTAGGATGGGCCTTAACATTTCAATTAACCCAACCTAGAAACTTTTTTTTTCCTTTTTGGTTTTTCAAGACAGGGTTTCTCTGTAGCTTTGGAGCCTGTCCTGGAACTAGCTCTTGTAGATCAGGTTGGCCTCAAACTCAGGAGATCCCCCTGCCTCTGCCTCCCAAGTGCTGGTATTAAAGGCGTGCACCACCACCATCTGGCCTAGAAACTTCTTTTATGAACAGACATGACCAGAGATTTTTGTCCTAGCTTATTCTCAAGATTATCAGGTTGATAATATTAACCATTATTAATCATTACTCATGTGTTTAACTATCTGTGGTTAGTACAATCCAACATCAGTTTTACTGCTGAGGCTCAGTATCCCACCTCGATCCTCTTGAACGTATTCTGTGTCCTGCCAACTGGCTTAGCCACATGGACAACTTCTCTGCCGCTGTGCTTGTGATACTCCACTGCTTCCTGCCCAGACCTGACACGTGCTAGCCTCCAGCAAGCCCTGGTTTCCTTCCGATGTTATTCTCTGCTCTCTGTCCTCATATGTCCTCATATGTTCTGTCTGAGTACATGTGGGCACATGCTGATGATTACTGCCCATTAATTATTTTTAAGTCTTTTGAGAGCAGAGTATGAAGAACCTTTGTGTGCATGGATGTATCTATGTGTATTTCTAAATGTGAACATGGGCTCATACCGTTGTGTCCAATTCAAATGTGGATCCCACCTAACCTACCCTTTCTTTTTTTTAAAAAAAAATATTTATTTATTATGTATACAATATTCTGTCTGCGTGTATGCCTGAAGACCAGAAGAGGGCACCAGACCTCATATCAGATGGTTGTGAGCCACCATGTGGTTGCTGGGAATTGAACTCAGGACCTTTGGAAGAGCGGGCAATGCTCTTAACCACTAAGCCATCTCTCCAGCCCCCCCCCCCTTTCTACCACACTGGGAACCCTGGTTCTTGAAGCTAGAACTGTAAGGAATTGTATACATACTTTCTCACCCAGGGTTCAACATGGAGCTGGAAGACATCGCAAAGCTGAAGAGTAAGTGCTTCTTTTCCTTCCCTGTGGGCTGGACGGGAGGCATGCTCCTGATGTGCCCTTGATTCACAGTGATCCTGCTTCGCTTGGAGGGGGCTATTGATGCTGTCCAGCTGCCTGGGGATGACCGAGGAGTCACCAAACCTGGAAGGTAGGGACAGATGCTGACCTCATTTCCTCAAGTCCTGTTTAGGGTTGGAGATAGTGTCCTCACGAGGTTCTGACTGGGTACTTCACCCAGCAGTGAGGTTTGGTTTCAATTTTCAAGGCTTAAGAAGAGTTACCAGGTTTTTAAAAAGGATTTATTTTATTTTTCCTTCTATGTGTGTGTGTGTGTTTGTGTAAATGTGTGCCACGTGTGCTGGTGCCTGTGAAGTTTGGAAGAGGCTGTTGGATGTCTTGGATCTAGCGTTAAAGTCGTGAGCTACCCTATATGGGTTTTGAAAACCAAACTCAGGTCCTCTGGAAAAGGAGCAAGCACTCTTAACCACTGAGCCATCTCTCCAAGCCAGTTGCCAGCTTTCCTCCCTCCCCTCTCCTCCCCTCCTCTCCCCTCCCTTTTTTGATTTTTCCAGAGTTTCTCTGTAGCTTTGGGGCCTGTCCTGGAACTTGCTTTGTAGACCAGGCTGGCCTCAAACTCAGAAATCTACCTGCCTCTGCCTCCCGAGTGCTGGGATTAGAGACGTGTGCCACCACCGCATGGCTCAGTTGCCAGCTTTTTATGTAGTCATTGAAAACATTGGGAGTAACAACATACACTACTGCAGTGTCTCCTCCAGCTTTTTCTTCCAGTTCTCTCTGGCCAGTAGCTGTGCTAGGACCTGGTCTGGGCTTATGGATGTTAAAGCATTTTCTGGGGTCTGGAGCTTTCTACCTTCTCCCTGAACCATTTTGTTCCCCTGAGCACTAACCTCTGTAGGTATTCCCAGTTACTTCCAGATAAGGCAACCTGACCTAGGTTCTAGTGTGCCTTTTTGGCCTTCTCTACCTGCACCTGAAGACCCTGCCACAGCCTCCCCTCTTCTGTGGCTTCTCTTGCCCCTTCCCATCTCTTAGGCTCTTAGAGTTACTACCCAGAGTTATTTTTTGCCTCTAAAGACCTGTACTCAGGCCACCCCTGACCGTGATTCTCATGACAGTAACTTGCTGTCCTCTGCCTACCAGGAGATTACTGAAAGGAGAAGTATCTTGTCTCCAATGCTGGCCTCGTTGAAGTACTCAGCAATTATTTCTGAGTGCAAGAAATTTGAAGGCCACCCACCTTGTAGGTTCACAGAAACCACAGCCTTGCCTCCTCATTCTCAAGCTTCTGTTCTTCTCTTTGGCAGCTACATCTTTGAGCTGTTTGCTGAAGCCCAAATAACATTTCAAACCAAAGGCTGCATTTTGGAATCACTGGACCAGATAATCCAGCACCTGGCAGGACGTGAGTCTTGGGTTGCCTGTATAGAGGAACATGCCAGGCTAGTGGTTTTCATGTAGATGAACGGGGTGGGGGTTGTTCCATGTCCGGCAGTCAGCACAAGTTGCAGAGTAGCACTTGGCTCCCAGTGTCAACAGGTCGCTGTCATGCCCTCCTCATGAACAAGAGTCCAGTCAGTGACGCTCCCAACCAGCTCACCCTACGTGCTTGTTTGTTTATTATTGGGTAGTTCTGGAGTGTGAACCCAGGATCTCATTCATGGTAGGCAGTGCTCCATCCCTAGCCCCTGGAGAAGTTCTTGCTATATATCTTGGCTTTGAACTTGATCCTCTTGCCTTTGTCTCTAGAGTTCTAAGATTATAGAATTGACCAGAGTCCAGCTAGCTTTCTCTTTCTGATCGAGACGTGGAGGTGGTAGTGACATTTGGCCAACCTTATGCTCTTTGGCAGCTTTCCCATTTGTGCGTTCTTTCTTTCTTTCTTTTTTTTTTTCTTTTAAAATTTATTTATGTTCTGCTTGCATGTCAAAAGAGGGTACTGAAATTCATTATAGACGGTTGTGAGCCACCATGTGGTTGCTGGGAATTGAACTCAAGACCTCTGGAAGAACAGTCAGTATTCTTAACCTCTGAGCCATCATCTCTCCAGCTCCCTATGCTTGGTTTCTTACTATATTATGTCCTAGTTAGTTGCCTTTTACGAAGGAATATCAGAGATCTTAGTGGATTAAGTGAGATGTGGTCCTCTCTGACTTCTCCCCCTAGCTACCAGATCCAATTTCCACTTACTTTGGGAGATCCAATTTCCAAAGGACAGTGGGTTTTTGTTTTGTTTTGTTTTTGTTTTTTAATGATTTATTTAACTTTATTTTATGTGCATTGTGTGAAGGTGTCAGATTCCCCTGGAACTGGATTTACAGACAGTTGTGAACTGCCATGTGGGTGCTAGTAATTGAACCAACCCAGGTCCTCTGGAAGAGCAGTCAATGCTCTTAACTATCAAGCCGTCTCTCCAACTTTCCCTCCCCCCCTTTTTTAAAAGATTTATTTATTTATTATGTATATAGGTTCTGCCTGCAGGCCAGAAGAGGGCACCAGATCTAATTATAGATGGTTGTGAGCTACCATGTGGTTTCTGGGAATTGAACTCAGGACCTCTGGAAGAACAGCCAGTGCTCTTAACCTCTGAGCCATCTCTCCATGCTAGGGCAGTGTTGTTATGGGCTGTTCTGCTGAGTGGGGTGAGGTCTGCAATACCACATGCGGCAGTGACTGCTATGCACTGGGGGACAGCACCAGTTCCACCTAACGTTGGACCACGCAGTTATTCGGGAAGCCTGTGCTCCTTTGGGGAGATTTTCCCGTATGACTGCTCCTTAACATCAGGAAAAACATGTCATATGCCTTCCCTAGCATCCTGTCCTTGATCTTTGTTATGGGGAGTCTGGTTGCTTCAGCAGACATGAGGTAGAGCTTAAGTGAATCTGTGCTGGCTCCTTTTAATGTGGGACTCAGTCTCTTCTGCTTGTGTGGATGCCAACCCTCCCATACTCCACAGGTCCTGGTGTGTTCACCAACACGGCTGGGCTGCAAAAACTCATGGACATTATCCAGGTAGGAGACTGCTTTCAATTACTGGGGTGTCTCTGTTTCTGCAAGTGACAGCAGGGCCTCAGGGAATGGACAAAGGTCCTCATATCACATGACTATGGTTAACAAACTCTTAAGCACCTGTAGACCTCAGTGGGAGTTGACTGAGAACAGATCTGGACATTTTTGACTATTCAGTGACCAGATTCATTCAGAGCAGTGTTCTAGGATCAAGGTCCTGTGAAGAGTGAGGTCAGGGGCGATTTAGTGCTCCGTAGGGCTGGGCAGGACCTCCTTGTTCATAGCAGCTCTTCTCAGGGAAAAGACAAATGGGCCCTATAAGTGTGGGTCTGTGTGTCTCTAGCAGAGAGGAATGACTATGGAGCCACTGTCAGAGACAAAGACAAAGGTTCAAAGGTGGAACTGTAGAGCCTGACAGAGAAGCATGTGGACTCTCACCACCTCATCAGGTCTCTCCCCTGCCTGTCACTGCTGCTTTGGTACCTTCCCTCCCTGTGTCTGTGTGATACCCAATTGTTGTCAGGTGCAGTACAGATGTCTCATTGTAACTGTGTCCTCAACTATAGTGAGCTCACTGGCTTTTGACATCTTAAGTTTTTGGGTTTTTTTTTTGCAGGGTTTCCTTTTTTTTTAAATATTTATTTTTTTATTATGTTTACAATATTCTGTCTGCATGTATGCCTGTAGGCTAGAAGAGGGCACCAGACCTCCTTACAGATGGTTGTGAGCCATGAGCAACCACCAATCATGTGGTTGCTGGGAATTGAACTCAGGACCTTTGGAAGAACAGGCTATGCTCTTAACCGCTGAGCCATCTCTCCAGCCCCTTGAGGCAGGGTTTCTTTTTTTTTTTTTTTTTTAGTAAATTTTATTAAATTATAAAAGTTTCCATTTCCACCCCCCCTCCCAACACCCTCCCACTCCCCCTACTCCCCCTCCTCCTCCCTCTTCGTCCCCCAGGGCGGTCAGGGTTTCCTGCCCTGTGGGAAGTTCCAGTTCCTTCCCCCTCCCTCCAGGTCCAGGAAGGTGAGTGTCCAAACAGACTGGATCCCCAAAATCCATTATATGTAGAGGAAACAGGTCCCAGTGTCATAGTCAATGGCTTTTCAGATAGACTTCGGGTCAGCCACAGTCAGAGAATCCGGCCAAATTCGGAGAGTCTGGTTAGATCACGTCCTCTTTCAGTCCCAGTCCAACTGGCCTTGGTAAACTCTCATCAGATCCGTTCCCTTGTATCAGTGGGTGATGGCATCCCTCGCAGTACTGACTTCGTTTTTCATGTTCTTCCTCCTTCTGCTCCTCATTTGGACCTCGGGGGGCTCAGTCCCGTGCTGCAATGTGGGTTTCCGACTGTATCGTTGAGGCAGGGTTTCTATGTGTAGTCCTGGGACTCACTCTGTAGACCAGGCTGGCCTCGAACTCATAGAAGTCCACCAGTCTCTGCTTCTTGAGTGCTAGGATTAAAGGTGTGTACCAGCACTCCTTTTTTTTTTTTTGTATGTTAGTGGTTCTTTTTACCAGTATGTACGTATGCCACGTGTGTGCTTGGTGTCCATGGGGTCAAGAAGAGGGGGCCAGATCCCCTGGAAATGGAGTTATAAGCCACCATATGGGTGCTGGGAATCAAACTTGAAAGAATAATCAGTGCTCTTAACCGCTGAGCTATTCTTCCAGCATATCTCCTACCTTGATAAGCTTTAATAGCAGTTCTTAATATTCCTAGCTGTGAGCCAGGCATAGCGGTGCTTGCCTTTAAGACCAGCACTTGAGAGGCAGAGGTGGGCAGATCTCTGAGGTCAAGGCCAGCCAGTGTTACACAGTGAGAACCTGTCTTTTTTTGTTTTGTTTGTTTGTGTTAATGGTTTTTGGATGGGAACTGTTGATCCTGGGGAGAATTGAGACAAGCTAGTCCTTTCATGTATGGTGCTATGTGAAGTCACCTGCTTGCTCTACCCATGGTATAGCTCCAAACCACTGGGGATTATGGCTGGTGAGCAGAAAGTGTCTTGGCTTTGTGAGCATAAAGCAAATCCTGTTACTGAAGAGGCAAACTGAATGTTTGGATCCTCAGTAAGTCTGATTATGATACACTGGGCCACAATGAACCAGGTACTGCCTTCTCGTTGAGCACAGACCTGGGCCAGGGGCCAGGCATGTGTGGTAGGTAAGGCAGCTGGGTGTGTGCTCAGGCCTGCTTCTTCTCAGCCAGCTTTGTGATAAGGGACATCACAGTCTTAGCCTTCCACTCCATGAGTGACAGCATTGCAGGTGTTTTTTTGGGATGAGGAAAGTTTGGTACACCGTTGTTCTCCAGACTGGACTCACCCCTCCAAGTACTTCTCCAGAGGCACAGTAGGTATCCCCAGGCATCTTGCTTCCCAGGATGGTGACCTATGCATGACTGTTGTGTCTGTGACTTCTTGCTGTCTAGGTCTGCTGTACATACACAGCCAGGCCA